CTTTTTTTTTTTTTTTTTTTTTTTTGGGAGAACATGGTTGCATCACTGGACAAGTTCCGTAACCCTGTAACTTCAAATATTTTTTATTATTTTCATTGCAATATGGATTCACCTTTGATGTCGTGCTTTGGTATAGACGTGGTCTTTTAAAACCATGTGATACTGTTTGATGGCTTGTTCAGATGAAATTACTTCCTTGTCTACCATCAAAAGATGTATTTAGAAAAATTTGTTGGCTGTATGGAGTGAACTAGCTGGTTGTATAACGTCGGTACTTGTCAAGATATTGTACCTTTAACTTCCAATGTTTCTTATGTAGTTAATAAGGGTAAAATAGTTTGCAATAGCTACTGCTTTGTTGGTAGATGTTTGTTAGGTTCTAATCCCAGCCTGTAAATTGGATATTTGTACACTGTAGTTGACTTGATGTCGTAATCATAATCAATGAAAGAGACTTGTTTAGCATATTTTATGAAGCTTCGATTCCTGCCTATGTCAATTTGAAGTGTATGTGGAATCAGGTGGCCAAATGGGCTGCTTTGATGTGATTGAGGTGGGAAGTTTCTCATTGAATGAATAATTTCTTCACTTCTAGAGTCATTTAACTTGCAAGTCTTTACTTTTTGAAATTACCAAGGGAATATGATTGATCCTACCTTTTTATGCTCACTGTTAAAAGGAAAAAAAACATCTCTTATGAGGTGTCAATGTTTAGAATAGTGGCAGACATGATGATTGTACGTGCCTGTTCTTTGCTCTGGGAGCGAACTAGTTCATTACTTGTTTCCTTGGTGTCATTCCTCCTTATGTTTATGGAGGACTGTTTTTAGTAGTTTTAGCTTACCCATCGTTACCTTAGAAACTTAAAAAGATTTGCTTGATCTTCCTTTTGGCTGTCCTGTAATAAAGAAGGAAACTAGGAAATTGTTCCAAGTGTTCGAATGGTCTTCAGAAGCTATTTTGGAGCATTATCGCATTTGTCTTATCAGTTGGGCTTCCTGTTGGAAGGCTCGTTTCTTTTAAAGAATTGTATTCCCTGGATTAAATGCCTTACAACTTTGAGATTTCTTGGCAATCAAAGATCTCAAGGTCAATTAGTTGTCTTGTGAGAATAGTTGGGTTACTTAAAAACTAGCTCAGACGCTCAATTGGTATTCCTACAAAAAAAAAAAAAAGCAAAGCTCGTTCAGTACAAATTTTGTTAGTTTGCTATTCAAATGGTGTACCTGTTCTTTTATTGGTATGCTCCTTATAATGTATTCCTATGGGCTACCAACCATGCGAATATGAACCTTGTTATCAATCATTGGTCCCAATTATTGTGCCTGTCTGTTCGTTAATTCACTGCTTCTCATCTGAAAAGTATGTTTGAATTCCCGATAGTGTGGAAGAAACCCCTTGAAACACAGAGACCATAAATTTTAGGTATTTTGTTATTGAAGTTCCTTTCAAAATGAAATCGAATGAATTTAAAGAATCTTAAGTCATGGAGGAAGCATCTATGATGCTCAGTGACCAAGATCCTTCACCAATGACATCACAAATGTTGACGTGGATAAATTTGGTGACAGGAGAACCTGAGATGGAAAAAGTTTGCATCTTCTGTTATTTATCTAGATTGAATCTTCCATTTCTGTTTGGGATTATGAAGCTGGAACTACTACAGTTGAGAAGTGATTGTTGGTTTGATGTTAACCCTTTTAAACCAGCAGTTTTGAGACCTAATTTATGTTCGATGAAGATTTTATAGTTTGTAGTGGAATTGATGCATGTTTTCTGTGCTAGATGATGCTGTTTGCATCTCTGGAGTCTTCGTTTCCACCCACAACTTACCATTATGAGTGGTGTTTACCACTTATTCCCATTTTGGTTCAAATTTTTAGGCTTATATAATAGTTTGAACCTATTAAAAAATCATTCTTTGGGCCCCTAAAGAATGTTGCCCCCTCCTTCATATGCTTACTTACAGGTCCTCTAGAGATTTTCCAGATATGCATGGCCTTATTATGCACACATACAACTCTGATAGTGCTGACTCGCAAGTGGATCATTTGGGTTTACACAAAGCTCTTTGTGTATTAATGGGGTGGAATTACTCAAAGCCTCCTGATAATTCAAGAGGGTACCGTTTTCTATCTGCTGACGAAGCAACAGCTAACCAGGAGGATTTGATTATGTGGCCTCCTCTAGTTATCATCCACAATACAATTACTGGAAAGAGTAAAGATGGGCGCATGGAGGGTTTGGGAAACAAGGCAATGGATAGTAAAATTAGAGGTATCATGCACTTTTTTACATTTCTTTATCCCTCATTGATGCTTGAGTAGATTTACCTCCTTCTAGGTAGAATAAGGTCTCTAATCAACTAGGCCATACTGCACCTACAACTTTACTACCTACAACTTCATTTAGAAGAACATAAAACATCCCTGGAATTTCTCAAGTCTATCACAGATGACTATCTGTGTCAGGCTATAGATTTAGAATGCGGAGTAATTTAATGATCTTTTAGTTGCTGATGAGAACCATAGTTATATTTATCGTATTTTCTTAGTTGATGAACCTAAAGTTACAATTTCTGAATCTTCCATGAATGAGTTGATGGCACACGTGGAACCTTATACTCATTCTGGTATTATCTTGTTTTAATGTTAGTAAATCTGTTTCAAAGCCAATTGGAAGGGATTTTTTTTAACACTTGTGCTCAAGGAGGACACCTTATCCTCCCTCTTTCCTAGTATTCTTTCTGGACGAAATCTCACTTATTGATAGAATGTGAATGAAGCTGTTCTCTTTTCTCCAGTTGGTTGATTCTGTTCAAGTATTTATAGGGAGGAGGGGCTGCACTGTACAAGTTCTTTTTTCCCCCCTAAAAAAAAATCTTTTAATAATTTATGTATCAGGTCTCTTCTCTACCCCCCTCTCTCTCTCAAGTCTATCAGTCATAGATGATACATCTCTTGGGCAAGCAGTTTAGAAAGTGGAGTACCTTAATTATTTATTAGTACCATTGCTGAAGAACTATGATTATAGTTATTGGCTTCATACTAAACCTCTTACATGAAGTACCGAATTATTTATTAGTATGGTTGCTGATCTGAATTAGGTGATATTTACCTGCTTCATAGCGTAATTATAATTAATGTGCCTAAAGTTTTTATCTGTATCCCCCATGGATAAGTTGATGGCACGTGGATCTTTTAGGGTTTCTGTCATTATCCTGTTTCTGTGTTGATGAAGCTGGTTTCACAGCTCATTTGAAGGGCTTTTTGTAATCCCTTTTCTAATTAACATCCATAAATCTCTGTAGTTGTTTTGGAGTCCGTGTTAATTTTTTTTTTTTTTTTTTTTTTTTTTTTTTTTTGTTATCCTACAATCTTGACTGGCTAACATTTGTGAGATACTAATAGCTATGCAGTCTTGAGAGTTTTATCCGAGAAATATGCATTTTACCACAGGCATGTACTTTGTGTGTTGGTTGTGATTTTCAGTATCTCTCTGCTTTTCAATTGCTGTGTCTAACATAATTTTTATTCCTTGTTTTAAATTAAACCTAATTTCTTCAATTAGTTTGTTTGGTTTTATATTATATTATATATAGGCATAAGTTTTATTTACTTAGCGGCAGGTTACAGTAGATCTTTTGATGATCAATTCCGTTGATGCATCTGCTTTTACTTGGCTTTTACTCTTATGCAACCTCTTAATTTCATCGTCTATACATTTTAGTTATTTTAACATAGACTGTAACTTCAATCTTTTATTTCAGCAGTATATTTTTGGATTCTATTCTTCATTCGTCTCTAGTCTGGGAGACAATGGAGGTAATTATAGGCTCTGCAATTAAGTTACTTTGCAATCCCTAACGCAACAGTTAGATCCAGATAAATGGGGGAGGCATTTCATATTAAAAGCTTCACCTAACATTAGGGCAACTTTGTTTGTGGTCCTTCCTTGGTTTTATAACAGTGTGGGGTCGACTGTTTATTATTAGTCTTATTAATGCTAGTTTCTTGTATGGGATTTTGCTAATTGGTTGACATGATAATAATTTGGCTCTGATTCTCTTATAATTTATCATGATATTTGATTTGGTTTTCCCATATTCTCTAGCTTCCTCTACTGGGTGCTTGGATTTTTGTGCCCTATTTGTTTTTGTTTTCAACGATCATGCCATATACCATGTGGGAACTGTAGATTCTGAAGCTTTTTAAGCTTTAGTTAACAGAGAGTTGTGAAAAGGCCTATTTAGTTTTTACACAGCCACCTCTGTTCTTAGTTTAAGGCGTTTACCTTTTATAATCTTAATGCTAGTTTGCTATCAATATGTTGGCATTTAGCTGTCTTGACGAGTCATTTTGCCTTTTTTTTTTTTTTTTTTTTTCAGACCTTGGTTTTGGGGGTGGGAAGTCCAAGTCTTTATATGGAAGGGATGGTCATTTGGGCACAACTTTGATCAAGTTTTCAGGTGACCAGTCTGGCCTCAATGAAGCCAAGAAACTGGCTGAATTCTTTGAGAAGGACAATCATGGACGTACAGGTTGGGCTCATGTACGACCTGCAGCATTTAGCAGGGATGATGATAAAAATCCAAACCTTGTTAAGGTGGATGAAAAGTCTGGAGAGAGGAAAAGGATTTTTTATGGCTATCTTGCAACTGCAGCTGATATGGAAAAAGTTGATTTTGATACAAGGAAAAAGGTTACCATAGAGAGCTGTAGGGATTTCAAACTGTCCAGGTAGAATATCTTGATTAGTATATAGTTCGACATGCCTTCAGTTTGTAACCTGGGTTAAACTGCAACACTCAAATCCACCTCATTTTTGAGCTCGTCGATGGTTTGTGGATGAAATCTTCACCAAACAGCTTGTTTGAATGTTGACCTCTGTTATGGGGGAGGTGGGTGGTTGTTTGGTCTACCAGTAACATTACTCGAGGAATTTCCCCGGATTTGCTGCGTAATTTTAATTTTACTGTAGCACGAATGTGTATGGTAGGATGCGGAACATGGATCTGGTTGTTTGTCAACCGTTTTAAATCCTAATGATTAAAAAAGCTTGAATTATTTGTTTGTGTTCACATAAACAAACCTGCACAATCCTCCATCGTAACTCTAGAACCTGCTATTTCTTGGCAGTGATACCAACATCCGTTAGAACCGGAAATAATCACAATTGAATATAATTGAGTCGCTGTATAAGCATCTTGAAAGGAAGCTAATTTTGAGTAAGCAAGCCTTCCGTTGCTCGGTTCTTTTCAGGACAAGCATACAATTTTAAAGTACGTGCAGAATCAACAACACTGGGCTGTCTCCAGTTACATGTCTGCGTGTGCTGCTTGTGTTTCATAAGGGTTGCGTTGCTTAGTTTTAAAACAACAGGCACACTCAGAGTTGGAGCGACCGTGGGTGGGTGCTTTGACATTCCAATTGATGAATATAGTTATTATGGATGGATTAGATCCTTGTATATGTATATTTTTGAATTGGAATGCAAATCTGTGCATCTGGGCGATCAATCATATGTGGATCCAAGGTTTGAGAAGCCTGTAAAATGCCGAATCTGAAAGTTTTCTTTTTTTTATAAATATAACAGTGATTTATCTCTGTGCATAGAAATCTAACCGAATACTTTTTGAAGGCAATGTAGGTCATACTGAGGGAGGAATACCAGAGAACCCCAACTTTTGTGAGGTAGTTTTTGTTTGCTTTTCTGTGTCTCTAGCTGTTGTTTGATATGATTTGATGAATTTCGCTTTCGAAAGTAGAAATAGGAAGGAAGGAAAAGGATATTATCTCTGGGGTAGTGATGTTGAATTCTGGAACTTAAGCCTTGGGTGTCGGTGGAAGATACACTTTGACAAACTCGGCTTGGAATCTTATCCTCAATACTGTTGTCTTCATGTATGACATTTTTAGTTTTTCATTCGTTTTCTGTGTTGGAAGTAATCTTTTAAAGATTCCAACCCCCATAGAATTCTCCAATTCTGACAGGTAATTATTGGAGATGGTGTGGTTTTGGGTTCAAAAAGTGGGGAAGAATGTGGGTTTATTTAGAAGGGGAGTGAGTGAGTGAGTGAGTGAATGAGAATGGTAATGGGAATGGAGTGCACTTTACATGTGATGCGCATGCTTGGCGATGCCTGGTGTAGGGAGAAGAAGTGCAGGAAGTGGCACTGTGTATAATAGCGTGCCTTGTTTGGCATCTGTCTACACTTTAACTGACTGAACCCATGTGGTGGTCAGACTCTCTGTGGCCATATGGCCCATTCCCCACCTATTCCTATTCCTTTCCCTCTCTCTTCTTTTTCACTTTGATTTTCGGGAAAGCACTCTCTTCCCACACCCTATTTCCTTCCTTTTTCTACACTGCACTAATCTGGATTATTATAAACACTACACACTTCTTTATACACTTTTTATACCCTTCTTATCCATAGTAGTATAATATTGTCCAGCTCTCGTAATTTTACTTTTAGTTTTCTCAAAATATCTCATATGAATAGAGATGTATTACTTATTATAAACTTGAGATCATTTTTTTAATTAGCCTCTCAACAATCCTCAACATTCTACCTTCTCTATTCATTTCAGGTTAGTTATTCGTCAGCACTAATTTAGCTTACGATGTTTTTGGAATTCTTTGTCGTAGCTTACATTTTGATGCTTTTTCTCCCAAACAAAGAGGGAGAATTCTTATCAAGATAGTTCTTTTTTTGTTGTTGGTGATCATTCTTGCTCAATAGGGTATAGGCCGGTTGATGTGCCTTTAAGTAGGCTGCCACCTAACATTTGTTAGCTAAGTCATTATGAAAGCATTAGCTATATAAATTCCAAGTGGGGTTTTTGGTAGTGATAGGCTCGCTATTGTGAGACTAGGGAGCTCTACTAAGTTTAGGTGATTCTAATAGACAGACCAAAGGCATACATGTAGGATACTTGCTCTCAGCGAGTCAAGAAGCTCGGTAAACGAATACTAGACAGAGGGCTAAGACATGTTTCTAGCATCGTTGAGATGAACTTGGCAAGTCTAGTTTGGATGGGGTTAGAAAACTAATCAAAACTCTTCCAACTTAAACTTTCAGCAGCATGAAATTTCATGCTGGTTGGAGGGGGGAATGGAACTCTTCTTATAAGAGTGTGGAAACCTCTCCCTAATAAATGTGTTTTAAAACTGTAAGGTTAACGGGGATATGTAACGGGTCGAAGCGGACATAGCTACTAGCTCTGAGTTTGGACTATTACATTCAACATTGACGACTTCGATTGACGACTTCGACCTGTTCTTGCATTTCTTATGATATAAGTATGTTACTTAAAAGTACTAATAGCAAAGACTATTCTATAATAGTTGATCATGGATGATTGATGATTAGGTAGGATAATGGTATTTTAGGATAATGGTATTTTACGGTACATATATTTTCTTTAATGTTGTTATTTCTTACCGAATTAGCTCAATCTAACAATGATTTGTTAAGAACCAAAAAAAAATTGGAAGTAAGATTTGTTAAGAACCAAAAAAAAATTGGAAGTAATTTTTTAAGACACCAGATACGAATGTCTATTTATGTGGATTGGTCAATTATACCTGTCGTTTTTTTCTATCAAAAAAATTGTTCTCGTTCACATTTTCCAATTGTATCTTCGAATCCAATGGACACAAAATATTTCTTCTTTTGAGAAATTCATTCAATTGAATCACTCGTGCTTAACTTGACATTTAAAAAATAATGAAATAATGATTGATATAATGTCGATGACAATTTTATAATAATTATTTAATAATATGATATTTAGTAGTATTCAACCATTATTTTAAAAAAATATATATATAGGTAAATTTTTGAGTCTATCCTATTGGAAGAAAAAAAAAACTTTTTTAAAGGTATAAGTTGGAATTTTTTAATCTATTTATAGAATATTTGGTATTTAATTTTAAATTAAGTTATATGTCATTGTTTTGTCCATTCTATAATATTAAATAAATAAAACGGTTGTTTGAAGAATTTTCAGAACAGACAGCAAAATGACACAAAATATTATATTATGAAATGGACATATCATTGATCTTCCAAATTAAAGTATATTAAATGAAATTATTCCAAAATTAGAATTATTACAAATTTCCAGGATCAAATTATAAATTAAATTTGTGTTGCTTCTATTTTAATGTATAAATTTAAAGCTTTCAATAAACATATTGGCCACACATCCCATAAACACATTTGCCTGCTCGTTTGTGATATTTAGCTGAATTATGTGTCGTATCAGTGTCGTTGTATCAGATAAAACCATTATTCATGAAGCTAATCGACTTTCACATTTGGATCTGGTTGTACACAGTTACAAGTTTTTTTTTTTGTTTAATGACCTAAGAATGGTTTCAGAACAAAACCATTTTGAGGTATTTTGAACGATTTTCACAGTAAAAAAAAGTATTGTTTGTAACATATCATAGCAAAAATGTTATTATCGAGAATGGTAAATTTAAAATATATTTAAAATTCACTTTCATTTTCTAAAATTTTTATTTCAAATTATTGTTCCATTTAAAGATTTATAATATTTTTTTAATTTTGTAATTTTGTAATTTTGTGTACCAAATATAAAAATAAAATAAAATCAGGTAATAAAAATGGGCAGTTTTAAATTTAAATCAGAACGAAAAAGAAAATGCAAAACATTTTATGTTGAAAGCGGTAGGCATCGTCGGCGCATTGTAGAATTTCTTCACAGGGAACTTTTAGGCGCCGGTTTCCGGTAATTATTCATTACGTGTCAATCTCTTATTGGCCTATGTAATTTCAATGTCTTGTCATTTGATTTATCTCTTCCGTTTCGAGTTTAATTCCCTCTTCGCCTCTTTTCTTGCCCTTTCTCTGTTTCTCTCTCTCTCTCTCTCTCCCCGCCACTGAGCTGCCGCCGCCGTTCTAGAGGCAAAAAGAAATGGGGTCGATTCCCGATCCCGGTGAGTTGAGCGAGATGACTCACCCGAGCTTCGATGAGTTCCAAAGGCAGGCGTCTCTGATGGCGAGCTGTACTCTGCTCTGGAAGGAGCTTTCCGATCACTTCACTAATCTGGAGCAAGATCTTCTTAAGAAATCGGACGCACTGAGGCATAAAATTCAAACCTTAGACCATCAGACTAAGGAGTCTCTTGACGAGCTGGAGAAGCGCGAGGTTAGTATCCAGGGTAGTGTTCAGATCGCGCTTGGTAAGGTCGAGAAAAGTATGGAAGCGGCGCTTAAAGCTCTTGAGAAAGACGGCGATGAGAATGGTGAAGTCGATGATGGCGATGGATTGTTGTTGAAGCTGAAATCATTCTGTTTGGAAATGGATGCTAGTGGATTTTGGAGGTTCATCACTGGTAAGAAGAAGGAATTGAAGGCTCTGAGGGAGAAAATTCAATTGGCCTTAGCTGAATGCATCGATCCGCCGAGATTCGTGCTGGAGGCCATCTCGGAGGTGTTTCCACTGGATAAGAGAGTGGAAAAAAGTGATGGTGGGAATGATTTGGGCTGGGCTTGTGTTTTAGTGCTTGAATCGCTGATTCCAGTTGTTGTAGACCCAGTGATCGGGAAGTCAAGGATTTTGGTTACTCCTAGCATGAAAGAGCGCGCCAAGGAAATCGCTGAAACTTGGAAGGCGAGCTTGGAAGAGCGCGGTGGTATCGAGAATGTTAGGACACCGGACGTGCACACCTTTTTGCAGCACTTGGTTACTTTTGGGATTGTAAAGAGGGAAGATGTCGACTTATATCGGAAGCTTGTGGTTGGATCGGCCTGGCGGAAGCAGATGCCCAAATTGGCAGTATCACTTGGCCTTGGAGATATAATGCCTGGTATAATTTCAAATTTCACGCTCGTTTCATATGAAAGAACGATATGATTTCTGATCTTGAGTTTATTTTAGAAGCTAAACCAATATATTCGCCTCTATTTTCCATTTCCATTTATCTGGTATGGGTTTTTGTTCTTGTTTTCATAAAGATCCAACCATGGCACTTTATGAGCAGAATGATTTGTAAAAGCGCATCAATTCACATTGTAATCCATCAACAGGAGCTTTTACGAAGATTGCATGGAAAATTATATCTTAGAGATGGATTATATTGATAGCATAATCAATTTTTTCACAAAATTGCCTATATTTGGGGCCGAGTGGTTCTTTATAGAACGAATTTGATGTTTTGGTGGAGTGGTTTCTTACTAGTTACCACCAAGTAGTTGAACATATGGGTTGGGAGTTAAATGCAGCATCATGTTTGAATTTAGACCATCCAATGGTTTTCGTATATGCATTGGTTGCTAGCTTGATATTCTAAAACTTTCCCCATCTCTTTTTCTTTATGAATTACTTTCCTGGTTATTGTTATTATTACTATATCATGGAAGACATAACTGTAACGGGAGAGCCGCAGATGTATTTTGTATGCTTCTAAGCTGCTATCACGTGTAGATATGATTGAAGAGTTAATCAGCCGGGGACAGCAGCTTGATGCCGTGCATTTTACATATGAAGTTGGTCTTGCGGATAAGTTCCCCCCCGTTCCACTGCTGAAAGCTTATCTGAAGGATGCAAAGAAAGCTGCAGCTGCTATTTCTGAGGATCCAAATAATGCCGGCAGAGCAATGGTACATTTTACCTCATTTCTTAACTTCACTATTACTTCTTGAGATCAGTTTCTGAATTCTTGTAAATATCTTGCATGTGATGGCAGAGGGATCATCAATTACTCCATTTGATTATGATATAATATTTGACCCTATATTATAGGCAAATCTTGGATGATTATGATATTTTTGACCTTATATTATAGGCAAATATTGTATGATTGAGGATATTTTGACTTCCATTACGGTTTACCATAAATACTATATAGGCAAATATCTTATATGATTTAAGATATTTTGACTTTCATTACGGTTTATCATAGATACCCTATTTGATTTTTTATTATAGGCAAATATCTCGTATGATATTTAGCCTTCTATTACGGTTTACTATAGGTATCATATTTGATCTCTTTTATTATAGGCAAATATCTTGGATCAATTTATTCCTCCTTCCATTTTTTCTATTACGGTTTACTATAGGTATCATATTTGATCTCTTTTATTATAGGCAAATATCTTGGATCAATTTATTCCTCCTTCCATTTTCATTATAATTTATTTGATTCTATGAATGATTCTAAATAGAGAATTTCACCTCCATCCTTTTATTACCATTTATTGAGTTGGGAGTGATTCTAGCAAATATTCACAAATTTATTATGCTAACATGTTTTAAGCGTGGTGATTTCGTTTGATATATATATCTGTCTATTTGTTTGAAGGTGGAAGAAATTGTATTATAAGCTTTGCTATGAACTGTCCTCCTTTCTTGGTTCATTGTATTATTTGACCTCCGCAATGGTTTCTATATCATATATTAGAGGCAGTAGTAATTCGTATGTTTTCTTTTTTGTTTGTCGTAGCACCTTGCTGCACGAAAAGAGCAGTCCGCACTCCGAGCTGTTATCAAGTGCATTGAAGAATACAAGCTTCAGGCGGAGTTCCCTCCAGAAAACCTTAAGAAACGTCTTGAACAGCTAGAAAAGGTGAAGGTAGAGAAGAGGAAGCCTGCTGCAGTCCCTGCCAACAAGAGAACACGGGCAAACAATGGTGGCCCTATGCCTCCTGCCAAGGCTGGTCGTTTGACAAATGCATATGTATCTTCATACCCAGCAGCCCCTGCATTTGTCAGGTCTCCCTCGCCCTCTCAGTACCTGGCCGGTGTCCCGCCCTACCATTCCCCACCCTCAATGTATGGCAGCAGAAGCCCACCTGCAAATCCTTATACTTACTCACCCGAAGCTGCTCCACATGCTGGATCGTTCCCCTCACCTCCAATGTCGTATCCTGTATATGGTGGTTACGGCAATGCAATGGCCTCAGCATATCAACCAGCTTACTATCGATAAACATGACTGATCTCTGATGATGGTAACTGCTGATTCTTGTTATTTACTTTCCCAATGGTTTGTCTGTAATACCTAACCATGAAACAGTAGCCATGTATGTGTTAATTGTGACTTGTTATGCTTCTTGCTTTTCGTGCTGAGAAGCCAAACTCTAATGTTGATCAAACTTTAGCTGTAGGGTTGATCGTGTAAAGCTATTAGGATGACCACGACACAACATTATAAAGTAGATCCTAATGTCATTTGGTCTTTAGTTGTAGAAAGGCTTGCCCTGTTGGTTCTACTAATCTCTTGGTCTCTTTCTCGATCATGCCTTATCATTTGAAACAAACGCAACTATGCATTCTTTTGTTGTCTCTCACGACCCTGTCATTAGAAAATTGGAAGGTTGTCCCATCCAAAATTCAATGTTCTCTTGTTATTTTTTGACTTGAGTGGATTCGATTATCGTCATCGTCATCATCATCGACTTCAGAATTCCATCTCTGAATTGCCATCTGTGGCTATGAAGCAATCAATCTGATGCTTGTTGATATGAAGCTTAATCAAAGGGTATAATCTCTGCATCCCATTTACTTGGCTCTTTTTTCTTGAATCCTCTGTTCAATTGTGACTCCTGAGCTATTGTTTGGAGGATATGCAGCTTTTCTCAGGCAGAGGTTTGAATGCATGATTCTTCGTCGATATCGACAGTTTCATGGTAACTTAAAACGTTTCTATCTATTGTCTCGATGCACTAGGCTACCGTCTTTTCAAGAATAAATCAAACAAATATGGTAAACTGCCTTTTCTCTCCAACAAATTACAGTGTAAATTAGACATAATGGACTTTAATTAATTTTATAGGTTGAAATGTACTGATTCAACCGATTTTCGCTAACAACCTTGACACTTATTTGGAAGTTAGCATGTTGCTTGTGCATATCCCAAAAGATTATCCACAGTGGACTGAAATTACAGATCAATTTTGGATCTTGTTGGTTCCACATAGATACAATTGGGTTCCACATGTTATACACTAACTTGAACTTAGAGTGGGCCAACCCAAATCGTCCTTGCAAATCTCTATCAAGTTTTGAATAATATATTTACGATGATTAGAGTACAAATCTCTATAGCTTTAGATGAAAATTGAGACTTAAAGACAAGGTTGCAATGTTTGGATCATCTCATACTATTCTCGGTCTTAATTTCGTCTAACATTCTAATAAATTTTCATTCCTTACAAATTTGAAAAGATTAAAAGATAATCTTTTAAAAATCAAGAATAGTATTTAAAGCCTCGAGTATCGAGAATGCTGCCAAATAGTCCATTTCAAGAAAATAAAACTATCACTTTATGGGGGACAACTTGACTAATAAACATTAATTAGCATATACTTAAAACTTATCTATAATTTGAAGAGCCCACCAATGAATTCGATCTCTTCATATGGGAGATTTATCTGGAGAATGATTTGTAAGAAGATTACAACATAGGACGACACTGTATTAAATTTCTGTCCATATGTACCCATTTTCTTCGATGTTTTCACATATTTACAGATAATCATGGATAGAAATGCTTACCAAGCGGGCAAGGACGGAGCAAGTACAGAAAAATATCACCTTTGCACTGTTTCTCCAATTCACCACCTCTCGACCTCTTTAGACATGAACACAAAACAAGGGTTCATATTTCCTTCATATGGTATAGAAAATGATCAAACACCATTGGGATGTACTCTACAATTACTAGCCAACCCATTGAGGCACAAACAACATGGGACTTGCAAATTCTAACTTTCACATTTCTATATCAGCAAAAGCCCTCAATAGTTATCTTTTTTCATTAAAATTTTTTGAAAATTGAGCTAGATTCATCTATCTATGAAATAATAATTGTTGTTATAAATCCATCAAGTTAAGCTCGAATTGACAATCAAACTACTATGTTTATTTGCATTTTCATTACTCAAATTATTCAAATTTCTCTTAACAGTGCAAGAAGGTCCATGATGTAAGATAAACAATTATTGAGCTATAAATCAGACCCTAGAGAGAACCAAACTTAAAACAAAAATGGAAATGGAAAAGGAAGAGGAAGAGGAAGAGGGCTAAGTTGTGAGTGAAAAATGTCGGAGAACAGTTGGAAACTGTTATCCTTTTTGTAATTACTCAATCAGTGAAGTGGGTTGGCTTGATTCCCAAGACCAAACAAACACAGAAAGAGACAGTGCAAGAAACTGGAAGAAACAGAACTCAGAAACAGCCTTTTGAATGTTCAAAATAAAAGAAGAGATTCTGAATTAAATTGATCAACCAAAGAGCTTTGGAGTTTGGATCCTTATGACAATGAATGAATGATTGATATGGTGATGATAGGGTCCGAAGATTTTTGGGTCCATATCTCTATTCACTTTTCTAACTCATTCACATCCTTTCTCATCTCTCTCACATTTTCACAACTTTTTACTCCATATGTTTCGTACACGAGTTCCAAAAGTTCATCCCTAAACTTTAACACCATGAAAGATTTTTTTCTTTTGGTTACTGACTGCTCGATTATGAACCTAAATCTGTCTTAAACAAACCATGGTTTGTAGGACTATAAATTTTGGGAAGAACTTCAGCGGAAATAGTAGCTAAATCTATGGAAAGCAAACAAGTTTCAAACGAAGAACATCACACTCATCCTGTTGCTAGATCAAGGATAAGCGGGAATCAGTGCTTTGAGCAGTGAATTTTTTTAATATATACATTACATCATTAACACAATTTCACGCCACAAAAGTTGATCAGAAAAATAATTTTAATATTTAAGATGAAATAAACAAATCTTAATCTTCTACCTAGTTGTAATGATGTCCGTACACATGCTAACACTAGATATCATCTCAATTTTCATCCTTTATTTGTCGAGAATGAAACTTTCCTGAAACAATTTTAAATGAAGTTCAAAAATGAAAACAGGGGTTTCAGAGCCCTATAAGAAAATAGATATATAACTGAACTTTTGAAGTTCTAGTCGGAATATGTGTATTGGTCTAAGATATAAGAAATCCATTGAACTTTAGAGGACATAAAATTACCGAAACATAACACCTTTCCGTCGTGCTTTAGGAGCCGACGGCGGAGTGGACGAGGAGGATGTTAACAAACAAAGCAAAAGATCAGCAAAAGCTCTAACAATGAACTTATGGGTGTTTTTCGGATTCAACCGGAGATAGCACGACAAAAGCTCTCGCAAAAACTCAGAGTCGCTCCTCACACTCTCCAATTCTCGAGCTTCCACCATCTCCTGCATTGACCGCCGGAAGTCGGCGTAAGGGTCCATTGAATATTTGGGGACTTCTAGACCTTCAGAAACCACGATGTCGTGGGATCGGCGACGGGCGGCGGAGGAGTCACAAATGGAGTTGGAGCGGCCGGGGGAGGAGAAGAAGAAGCGGCGGGAGGCGAGGACGGTGGCAAGGTCGTCGGAGATTGAGTCGTCGGCATCGGAGGAGGTGGAGAAGAAGCCATCGTCGGCGAGGGAGGAAGGGGTGAGGGAAATGGGGTTGGAGGTGAAGTAGCAGTCGGAGGATGGGGAGTGGGCGACGGCGGCCGGCGGTGAGAATTTGAGTTTGAAGAAATGGAAATTTTTTAGGAAACGGTTGGACATTTTTTCAGATGACTTGGTTGCAGTAGAAAGAGTGGAAGATTTAAACAAAGAAGAGTGCGCACGTGTGTGTTTAATTTCTTAATTCCATTTTCACACCTCATTTTTTGTTTTAAATTTTATAATTTAAATTCATACATATTTCATGACTTTTAACTAACTAAATTTTTTCTTATATTCAAAATTAGTTTTTTTTTTTTTTTTTTAAATATTTTACATCAATGTCGAACTCAATCAGATAATAGAGGTTTTAAACCTGGAAGGAGAGAGTTTCTAATACTATCTTAATGTGAAAAAAATGTCACACATCAAACAAACTCAATCTAATAATAGGATTTTCAAGCAGTGGAGGAGAGAATAATTTATAACTCCCCTAATGTAAATGTAAATGTCAAGCATAAGACAAACTCAATCTGATAATATGGTTTTCAAGCCGAGAGAGGAGAGAAATTCTAATCCTCAAAGAGAGGAGAGAAATTCTAATCCTCTCGCAATGTGAAAAATGTCACTCTCTCTGATGATAGGGATTTTAAACCACGGAAGAAGAGAATTTCTTGCAATCTTGTATGTGAAAAAACGTTGACAAACTCAATCCGATAATAGGGTTTTCGAACTAAGGGAGGAGAGAATTTCTAATACTCTCATAGTAATGTAAAAAATGTCACGCGTCAAACAAACTCAATTCGATAATAAGGTTTTCAAGCATAGGGAGGAGAGAATTTCTAATACTCTTGTAATGTGAAAAATGTCACACACCAGACAAACTCAATCCAATAATAGGGGAGGAGAGAATTTATAATACTCTTGTAATGTGAAAAATATCAAACATTAGATAAACTCAATCCGATAATAAGTATTTTAGACCATAGAATAAGAGAATTTCTAAATGTGAAAAATGTCACATCATACCAACTCAACCCGATAATGGAGTTTTCGGGCCATTGGGCCAAGGGTGGAGAGAATTCTTAGTAACTCTCACCTGAATACTGATACTACCGTAATGTAAGAAATTTTTTCCCATAGTCAAGAGGGTGGATTGATAAAAAATAAAAATAAAAAAGCTAGAGAGAAGACTAATTGAAGGGGTCCATTGCTATTTGCAATTTGTGTTATTTGAGGCCTGAGGGTGTTGTTTAGTACATGGACATTTCAACTGAGGGATTGATAGTACTGAAAGAGACGGGCAAGAGGTGATCAAAATTTGAAGCCACATGATTTGTTTTTTCTTTTAACCATTATTGTGTCATACAAAAAGTTGAAACAGTGACAGAAGACGCAAACTTTAGATGCATGTGGATTCCGACAGTGACGTTTCCTAAGGCCCAATATTTTCCTCCCACGGGGAAGAATCTATTGACCCTGTTGTTATTTGCTTTTACTCAAACCAAAGCTTCCCAAATTTGACCTTAATCCTTGTTCAAAATATGCAAGGCAGTGAAAAAAAAGTACCCACAAGAAACTGTGGATTTCTAAATTTTATGTGGGATTGTCATGCATAATGTGTAATGTTAAATTGGGTCAAAAGGGAGCGTACCCGTTGGATTGTGGTTGGAAAACAACGCAGCTTTCATCTTTTAAATGAACCTGCCCCTGCCTGCAGCTTTCGTATGGCAGCAGCCCTCCACAGGTCTGAGCCAACCCATTTCAGCTTCGCCACTTTTCCAAGTTTTCAAAACTGGACCGCCCATTGTTATATTCTATGCTTGCATGTGAAGCTTGGTCAATTCCATACGTCTTATTCACCTGTTCATTTATTGGGCTAACATGGGATCTTCATTGAAACTCGTTTGTTGCCATCTTTACTGCAAACTTGGAACACTGCAAAATCACAAACAACAGACCAACTCAAAACGGTATAATACAACGAAACAACGCACCCCCATCACCACTCTCACGCTCACTGTGGTGCATTACTAACGTTCTCATTGGGCTTGGCGGCTTCTGTCATGGACTCCGCCACCCCACCACGATGGGCCGCCTGCCTCGCATTGTTCCTCAGCTCTGCACTCATCACCCCTTCCGCATCCTGCTTCGTCGCCGCACCCTGAGATGTAGAGTCCGGCCAATCATTTCTGTGGTAAGAAGTTGTGTATTCAAACCACTTTTTAGGTAAAGCTAAAGTGGTTCAACTTATAAGCGCAAGAAATCCTCATCTCAATTCCCAAAGGGGGATTCTGTGTTCAAATCCCAATATGTAACTGGATAGTCAGTTGATGGACTTTAACTAAATTTCCAAGCCACGAGTAACTTAGTAACACACAAGAATGAGAACGAGTTAAGAATATAAATAAATAACTAAGATGGTTTACAATTTGATTAAACAATTATGACTCTGTTTCTACCATTTGAATTTTTATGTTTGGGAAATTAAGCTAATATAATTGGTTCATTTGTTTGGATATTAGTTTCCAGAATTCTACCTCTAAATTTTGAAAACTAATAATTTTTTCTACCAAGCAACCCACCCAATTTAAAAATAAAAAACTAAAATTAAAATCGTTGCAAAATTCACACTTAAAATTTCTTGCTTTGTTACTGCTTTTTGAAAACGTGGTCAAGACTAAGTCAACTTTGAAAAAAAAAAATCTAAAACTACAAATGGTAATTTTAAATTTTGGATTTTGTTTTTGAAACTTGGGTTAGAAATCAAATACTTCTAAATGTCTTCCTAAGGAATACTCACCAAAAAAATTGTTACGAATCAAAAATATACTTTTCAAAAAAAAAAAATTGTATCGAACTGAATCTATGCTATTCAAAAGCCTCGTTAGCTCATACGCACCATTAGGATGTCGTTCATCCTTACTAACCCCAGCATTGAAAGAAGCAGCCTACTGAGCACAGGCTGCGAGTCCACCTGGTATCACGGCATTGCTCCCAAATACCTCACTCTACTCATTGAATGGCAGCAGCATCGCTCTGCGGTTTATCACCTGCAGCATGAACGTTCGCTTCAAGGGCTTGTCCTATGGTGACCGCGTTCTGCACTGCTATGACAACTAAAATAATGGGTGCAGGCTCCACAAACTGCCCAACGATCTGCACTGAGAAAGAAACAAACCAAAATCAATTATAATTAATGCACACCGGAGTAAGTTTCAGATTCGAGCTTAATCAAAAGATAAAACAGAATTAAAATGTAGTTAAAAATCTTAAAAAGAGGACCTGTCTGGCCAACTGTATCAGTAATGATGCGATTACCTTGGATATCGGTCTCTTTAACAGCAACCCTTATCTCCCGTAGCATCAGTTACATCCTCGTGGCTAACGAAGCCAAAACGCAGAGCCGCCCCTACTGGGTTTGACCAAACACCATGGTCTCGGCGGTTGCATCATGTCAGTGTCCACGGGTAGTATAACCTTGGAGACAAGTTCTCCAGAGACGTTGAACACCATAGGTTCTAGCTGTTCGTGGCGGCGCGGCTGTTCTTGACATCTGTTTTCATAAAGTAAAGGATACTTATCTGAACAGATGGAGGAATGTTGCAGGTCGAGGAGAGGGACTAAAACGGTCGTTGGAACTTGGGTGGGGTAGTTGATGACACGTCGGTTCGACCAGACACGTGTTGAATCCTGATAGCTCTATCTTAAAGGAATCAAGCTGTTCAGTGCCAGCATGTCACTGTGACAGATGGCAGCTGATAAGTAAGGTGATTTTTCTTTTTAGTTACAGCCCACTGGAGACGCCATTGAAGCTGAAACTCTTGCTGGATGTGGGACGACAGAATTATTGTTTCAAGGGGAACAGCTGAAATATCTTCCATTTATACTTACTCTTCTTGACATGACAGAAAAGGAGAGAACAAATATTCTTAAGAACTACAAAAAGTTCGAACCCAATAGTGGAAATTACAGACTATAAAAAGTAACCATAAAATCTTCTGAAGAGAGAAACAACAGCTTCAGAAACTCGATCTACTCGATCTATAGGAAACTCAGAAAAACCCCACAGTTGGATATGGACGATTCAAAATTTTCATGGTCTACCGAGAAATTTCTAGTGCAAATGTTGAAAATGAAGAAGGTTTCGAGTAAGCTCAAGACAGTATTAGGGGTGAAGTTTTCACTTCCATCTGAACCCATTAACTATTTCTACCTTTCAAGTTTCTGAAACAAAAATGCTTTGACATCCTCACCGTCTGTATGAAACTTACTTATTCACCACTAAATATCTCCCTACCAAGCCATTTTCCTGTAGTGAGAATTCTCATGATCTTATTTCAGTGGAACCACAAATCTAATTCCAATTCCTAAGAGTTTTGGCAAACAACCACGAAGGCGCCCAACATAGCCTTCATTAAGAAATACAACCATTTGATTCGATAGATCCAGTCAGTATAGCCAAATTTATTGACTTTTTATATCAATTCCTTACATTCCCATTTTTCGATACACAACACAAGTCAACAAGACAACTATAAACCCTTTTTATAAGCCCGCAGACAAGACTACGTTCGATTACATTATGTAAAGTTAGATCTTTCTTACTCAATCTTCCCGACTTGCAATCTCCAATCCATTACCTGCATAGACATGAATTGTTTACCAACTGATCAAATACCAGAACGTCTAAACATACAAGTACTAATCATCACTCATCAATCAGCAATCAGACTCCAGAAAAACAAAATTTCTTTATCAAGCATGCTGGAAGAACAGAGCAAATTATCGAAAGATGAAAGCTGATAACAGAATTCCAGTACAGGAAAACAGGATTTTAATAACATATTCACACACACACACACACACACACAAAGAACGAGAAAGAAGAAAAAAAAAATGGCTAGGGAAAAACTTACCATCTGGATCAAAGAAGAAGACTTGCTTTACCTTCCCATTTGGTAGGGTTTTCTCAAATGTCTGTATGCCCTTTTCCTGCAGCAAAATAAAAATTAGTGTGGCCACATCTAAGGAAAGCGCAAACTTCCTATAAACCATTAGAAAATATTTCCAAAGAATTGTTCCTGCATACAAATTTATATAGTCGAATAAGTTCGAACTACGTTGTTTTTTTCTTTTCTCCGTATTCTGTACTTATTTTATTAATTCAACATCACTTTAGATTGAATTCTTGGGTTACACTATAAATTTAGCATTCAAATTGAAATACATTATAATAGTGATTA